GCGAGGGGTGTGAGGTGGGGGGGTTCTGAGGGGGGTGGGGCGCCAGGTGGAGGGGGGGGGGGGGGGGGGGGGGGGGGGGGGGGGGGGGGGGGGGGGGGGGGGGGGGGGGGGGGGGGGGGGGGGGGGGGGGGGGGGGGGGGGGGGGGGGGGGGGGGGGGGGGGGGGGGGGGGGGGGGGGGGGGGGGGGGGGGGGGGGGGGGGGGGGGGGGGGGGGGGGGGGGGGGGGGGGGGGGGGGGGGGGGGGGGGGGGGGGGGGGGGGGGGGGGGGGGGGGGGGGGGGGGGGGGGGGGGGGGGGGGGGGGGGGGGGGGGGGGGGGGGGGGGGGGGGGGGGGGGGGGGGGGGGGGGGGGGGGGGGGGGGGGGGGGGGGGGGGGGGGGGGGGGGGGGGGGGGGGGGGGGGGGGGGGGGGGGGGGGGGGGGGGGGGGGGGGGGGGGGGGGGGGGGGGGGGGGGGGGGGGGGGGGGGGGGGGGGGGGGGGGGGGGGGGGGGGGGGGGGGGGGGGGGGGGGGGGGGGGGGGGGGGGGGGGGGGGGGGGGGGGGGGGGGGGGGGGGGGGGGGGGGGGGGGGGGGGGGGGGGGGGGGGGGGGGGGGGGGGGGGGGGGGGGGGGGGGGGGGGGGGGGGGGGGGGGGGGGGGGGGGGGGGGGGGGGGGGGGGGGGGGGGGGGGGGGGGGGGGGGGGGGGGGGGGGGGGGGGGGGGGGGGGGGGGGGGGGGGGGGGGGGGGGGGGGGGGGGGGGGGGGGGGGGGGGGGGGGGGGGGGGGGGGGGGGGGGGGGGGGGGGGGGGGGGGGGGGGGGGGGGGGGGGGGGGGGGGGGGGGGGGGGGGGGGGGGGGGGGGGGGGGGGGGGGGGGGGGGGGGGGGGGGGGGGGGGGGGGGGGGGGGGGGGGGGGGGGGGGGGGGGGGGGGGGGGGGGGGGGGGGGGGGGGGGGGGGGGGGGGGGGGGGGGGGGGGGGGGGGGGGGGGGGGGGGGGGGGGGGGGGGGGGGGGGGGGGGGGGGGGGGGGGGGGGGGGGGGGGGGGGGGGGGGGGGGGGGGGGGGGGGGGGGGGGGGGGGGGGGGGGGGGGGGGGGGGGGGGGGGGGGGGGGGGGGGGGGGGGGGGGGGGGGGGGGGGGGGGGGGGGGGGGGGGGGGGGGGGGGGGGGGGGGGGGGGGGGGGGGGGGGGGGGGGGGGGGGGGGGGGGGGGGGGGGGGGGGGGGGGGGGGGGGGGGGGGGGGGGGGGGGGGGGGGGGGGGGGGGGGGGGGGGGGGGGGGGGGGGGGGGGGGGGGGGGGGGGGGGGGGGGGGGGGGGGGGGGGGGGGGGGGGGGGGGGGGGGGGGGGGGGGGGGGGGGGGGGGGGGGGGGGGGGGGGGGGGGGGGGGGGGGGGGGGGGGGGGGGGGGGGGGGGGGGGGGGGGGGGGGGGGGGGGGGGGGGGGGGGGGGGGGGGGGGGGGGGGGGGGGGGGGGGGGGGGGGGGGGGGGGGGGGGGGGGGGGGGGGGGGGGGGGGGGGGGGGGGGGGGGGGGGGGGGGGGGGGGGGGGGGGGGGGGGGGGGGGGGGGGGGGGGGGGGGGGGGGGGGGGGGGGGGGGGGGGGGGGGGGGGGGGGGGGGGGGGGGGGGGGGGGGGGGGGGGGGGGGGGGGGGGGGGGGGGGGGGGGGGGGGGGGGGGGGGGGGGGGGGGGGGGGGGGGGGGGGGGGGGGGGGGGGGGGGGGGGGGGGGGGGGGGGGGGGGGGGGGGGGGGGGGGGGGGGGGGGGGGGGGGGGGGGGGGGGGGGGGGGGGGGGGGGGGGGGGGGGGGGGGGGGGGGGGGGGGGGGGGGGGGGGGGGGGGGGGGTGGGGGGGGGGGGGGGGGGGGGGGGGGGGGGGGGGGGGGGGGGGGGGGGGGGGGGGGGGGGGGGGGGGGGGGGGGGGGGGGGGGGGGGGGGGGGGGGGGGGGGGGGGGGGGGGGGGGGGGGGGGGGGGGGGGGGGGGGGGGGGGGGGGGGGGGGGGGGGGGGGGGGGGGGGGGGGGGGGGGGGGGGGGGGGGGGGGGGGGGGGGGGGGGGGGGGGGGGGGGGGGGGGGGGGGGGGGGGGGGGGGGGGGGGGGGGGGGGGGGGGGGGGGGGGGGGGGGGGGGGGGGGGGGGGGGGGGGGGGGGGGGGGGGGGGGGGGGGGGGGGGGGGGGGGGGGGGGGGGGGGGGGGGGGGGGGGGGGGGGGGGGGGGGGGGGGGGGGGGGGGGGGGGGGGGGGGGGGGGGGGGGGGGGGGGGGGGGGGGGGGGGGGGGGGGGGGGGGGGGGGGGGGGGGGGGGGGGGGGGGGGGGGGGGGGGGGGGGGGGGGGGGGGGGGGGGGGGGGGGGGGGGGGGGGGGGGGGGGGGGGGGGGGGGGGGGGGGGGGGGGGGGGGGGGGGGGGGGGGGGGGGGGGGGGGGGGGGGGGGGGGGGGGGGGGGGGGGGGGGGGGGGGGGGGGGGGGGGGGGGGGGGGGGGGGGGGGGGGGGGGGGGGGGGGGGGGGGGGGGGGGGGGGGGGGGGGGGGGGGGGGGGGGGGGGGGGGGGGGGGGGGGGGGGGGGGGGGGGGGGGGGGGGGGGGGGGGGGGGGGGGGGTGGGGGGGGGGGGGGGGGGGGGGGGGGGGGGGGGGGGGGGGGGGGGGGGGGGGGGGGGGGGGGGGGGGGGGGGGGGGGGGGGGGGGGGGGGGGGGGGGGGGGGGGGGGGGGGGGGGGGGGGGGGGGGGGGGGGGGGGGGGGGGGGGGGGGGGGGGGGGGGGGGGGGGGGGGGGGGGGGGGGGGGGGGGGGGGGGGGGGGGGGGGGGGGGGGGGGGGGGGGGGGGGGGGGGGGGGGGGGGGGGGGGGGGGGGGGGGGGGGGGGGGGGGGGGGGGGGGGGGGGGGGGGGGGGGGGGGGGGGGGGGGGGGGGGGGGGGGGGGGGGGGGGGGGGGGGGGGGGGGGGGGGGGGGGGGGGGGGGGGGGGGGGGGGGGGGGGGGGGGGGGGGGGGGGGGGGGGGGGGGGGGGGGGGGGGGGGGGGGGGGGGGGGGGGGGGGGGGGGGGGGGGGTGGGGGGGGGGGGGGGGGGGGGGGGGGGGGGGGGGGGGGGGGGGGGGGGGGGGGGGGGGGGGGGGGGGGGGGGGGGGGGGGGTGGGGGGGGGGGGGGGGGGGGGGGGGGGGGGGGGGGGGGGGGGGGGGGGGGGGGGGGGGGGGTGGGGGGGGGGGGGGGGGGGGGGGGGGGGGGGGGGGGGGGGGGGGGGGGGGGGGGGGGGGGGGGGGGGGGGGGGGGTGGGGGGGGGGGGGGGGGGGGGGGGGGGGGGGGGGGGGGGGGGGGGGGGGGGGGGGGGGGGGGGGGGGGGGGGGGGGGGGGGGGGGGGGGGGGGGTGGGGGGGGGGGGGGGGGGGGGGGGGGGGGGGGGGGGGGGGGGGGGGGGGGGGGGGGGGGGGGGGGGGGGGGGGGGGGGGGGGGGGGGGGGGGGGGGGGGGGGGGGGGGGGGGGGGGGGGGGGGGGGGGGGGGGGGGGGGGGGGGGGGGGGGGGGGGGGGGGGGGGGGGGGGGGGGGGGGGGGGGGGGGGGGGGGGGGGGGGGGGGGGGGGGGGGGGGGGGGGGGGGGGGGGGGGGGGGGGGGGGGGGGGGGGGGGGGGGGGGGGGGGGGGGGGGGGGGGGGGGGGGGGGGGGGGGGGGGGGGGGGGGGGGGGGGGGGGGGGGGGGGGGGGGGGGGGGGGGGGGGGGGGGGGGGGGGGGGGGGGGGGGGGGGGGGGGGGGGGGGGGGGGGGGGGGGGGGGGGGGGGGGGGGGGGGGGGGGGGGGGGGGGGGGGGGGGGGGGGGGGGGGGGGGGGGGGGGGGGGGGGGGGTGGGGGGGGGGGGGGGGGGGGGGGGGGGGGGGGGGGGGGGGGGGGGGGGGGGGGGGGGGGGGCGGGGGGGGGGGGGGGGGGGGGGGGGGGGGGGGGGGGGGGGGGGGGGGGGGGGGGGGGGGGGGGGGGGGGGGGGGGGGGGGGGGGGGGGGGGGGGGGGGGGGGGGGGGGGGGGGGGGGGGGGGGGGGGGGGGGGGGGGGGGGGGGGGGGGGGGGGGGGGGGGGGGGGGGGGGGGGGGGGGGGGGGGGGGGGGGGGGGGGGGGGGGGGGGGGGGGGGGGGGGGGGGGGGGGGGGGGGGGGGGGGGGGGGGGGGGGGGGGGGGGGGGGGGGGGGGGGGGGGGGGGGGGGGGGGGGGGGGGGGGGGGGGGGGTGGGGGGGGGGGGGGGGGGGGGGGGGGGGGGGGGGGGGGGGGGGGGGGGGGGGGGGGGGGGGGGGGGGGGGGGGGGGGGGGGGGGGGGGGGGGGGGGGGGGGGGTGGGGGGGGGGGGGGGGGGGGGGGGGGGGGGGGGGGGGGGGGGGGGGGGGGGGGGGGGGGGGGGGGGGGGGGGGGGGGGGGGGGGGGGGGGGGGGGGGGGGGGGGGGGGGGGGGGGGGGGGGGGGGGGGGGGGGGGGGGGGGGGGGGGGGGGGGGGGGGGGGGGGGGGGGGGGGGGGGGGGGGGGGGGGGGGGGGGGGGGGGGGGGGGGGGGGGGGGGGGGGGGGGGGGGGGGGGGGGGGGGGGGGGGGGGGGGGGGGGGGGGGGGGGGGGGGGGGGGGGGGGGGGGGGGGGGGGGGGGGGGGGGGGGGGGGGGGGGGGGGGGGGGGGGGGGGGGGGGGGTGGGGGGGGGGGGGGGGGGGGGGGGGGGGGGGGGGGGGGGGGGGGGGGGGGGGGGGGGGGGGGGGGGGGGGGGGGGGGGGGGGGGGGGGGGGGGGGGGGGGGGGGGGGGGGGGGGGGGGGGGGGGGGGGGGGGGGGGGGGGGGGGGGGGGGGGTGGGGGGGGGGGGGGGGGGGGGGGGGGGGGGGGGGGGGGGGGGGGGGGGGGGGGGGGGGGGGGGGGGGGGGGGGGGGGGGGGGGGGGGGGGGGGGGGGGGGGGGGGGGGGGGGGGGGGGGGGGGGGGGGGGGGGGGGGGGGGGGGGGGGGGGGGGGGGGGGGGGGGGGGGGGGGGGGGGGGGGGGGGGGGGGGGGGGGGGGGGGGGGGGGGGGGGGGGGGGGGGGGGGGGGGGGGGGGGGGGGGGGGGGGGGGGGGGGGGGGGGGGGGGGGGGGGGGGGGGGGGGGGGGGGGGGGGGGGGGGGGGGGGGGGGGGGGGGGGGGGGGGGGGGGGGGGGGGGGGGGGGGGGGGGGGGGGGGGGGGGGGGGGGGGGGGGGGGGGGGGGGGGGGGGGGGGGGGGGGGGGGGGGGGGGGGGGGGGGGGGGGGGGGGGGGGTGGGGGGGACTTATGACTCACGGTGTTGTAGAGTTAATGGTGCCAGGTTTCTCCTCCTTATTGTTGCGCACCTCCGGAGACTCCGCTGCGGAAATAACTGGTGATGCTGTGTTAAATAAATAAATAAATAAATAGTATATTCTCTGTAAAACGAGACACACTCAAGGCTGTGGGGCCCGGCTTACTGTGTTCCTGCTGAAAGCCTTTCGTGTTCCACCCTGTCGGTGTTTGCATTTCGTTCGAGATGCTTGTGCCTAAAGTTGTTCCAGAAATAGTTGTCCGCCTCCGCGTAACCGTCGCCGCCGCTATCTACTCCCTTGCACCGCCGGTAAGTGTATAGACTGTTCATCTGTGTTTTTAGAACTGCTGTGTATGCGTGCCGCCTACGTGGATGATACGACAATAGTTCTCAGCCTCCACGAAAACTTTGCTCTCGGCAGTACACTCCGTTGCGCCTCCGGTAAGTATATTGGCTCTTAACAAGTGGCTTTTAGAGCTGAGGTCTACCCGTGCTGCCTATATGGGTTATCCGGGACTACCGTTCAGCCTCCACGGAACATTTGCCACCGCATATATACTCCGTTGCATCTCCGGTAAGTGACCCGACTGTCCACCTTTGGCTTTTTGAACTGCTGTGTCTGCGTGCCACCTATATGGGTGTGGCAACACCATTGCTCAGCCTCCACGAAACCTTCCTTCCAGAACCACTGTCTATTTGTGGTGCCCACTTCAATGGTCCGTCATTACTGGTCCGCCTCCACGTAACATGGAACACAGCGTACCTACTTCGTCGCACTTTCGGTTTGTGTTTTATTCGTGTACACGTGACTTTTAGAACGCGCGCATATTCCCTTCGAATGCATGATTGCTCTGACCGTCACATCGCTTGCACACTGCTGCGGAATGCCATGCACCTAAACACCAAGGCGTATTTTACACATTACATTTTTCCTTGTAGCATAGCTTTTAAACAATATTACATGTTCGTACTGCCTAAGAAGTTCTGTTTAACATGTCCGGTTTATATTAAGTTTGACCTGTCACGGTGGCTTCTTATGAGGCTGGCGAAACCATTTCTCAGTGTTCACCCTCGCTGGGCTCCGAGCTGTATACACGCTCACACAACTAGTGGTGAACATTTCCGAATGGTTCAAACGTCCGCCACCTTTATTGCATCCGGTTTCCCAATGTCCAGAACCATTTACATCCACCGTTGCTCATCCGCTGGCACCTTAACATGTATCAGCGGCACTGCGTCTCTTCCCTCACACTGCCACCGGCAAGTGATGCATCATTGAATCATAGCCACAGGTACCATTTGATTCCCATAGCCACTTCTCTTTCAGAGCCCAAGTGATATGCTCCTCCGTTTGCCCTAGTACTTAACTCAGCCACTGCGCCTACTCCCACGTACTGCCACCCGCTTGTGATGCATTGTTGATTCATCGACACTGGTACCATTGGATTCCCATGGTTACTTCTCTTTAAGAGTCACAATGATATGCGCCGCTCTTCGTCATCTTACTAACCGCTGCCGCTGCGTCTCTTCAAAAGTACAACCTCCGTAATACGACGCCTCTGTGAAACCCAGTTACAGGTATCCTTTCACTTCATTAATGACAGCCCATCCACAACCAAAGTAACATGCGCCGCCGTCAAAGTGAACCCTGGCACTGTCTATTTTCCTACGTATTCGCCTCACTTGAGCCTTCATCAGTGATACATGTACAAAGGTAAGATTGCATTTCAATGGTGACGTCTCTTGCATAGCCAAAGTACATATGCGCCGCCCACAAAGTGTACGTTATCGCTGCCTCTGGCCCTCCTCCCGCTGACTGGCAGCTCTATATCAGGCGTTAGTGAATGCGAGCCACAGGTAACATCAAATTGCAATGATGACCACCTTTTCGGAGACATAGTACACACGCGCCGCAATCCGCCGTCTTCATTACCGTCCTTGGTCACCCTGTGGCGTGCCTGCATTAGTCACCTCCTGTCATAGCACCAGATGCGGTCTTCCTTCGCTTTCCACTTTCGTCTACATTTTATATTCCTCATAGAACGGAGGAACGGCTTTTTTAGGGCCCCCTCTGTCACTGTGCGTTGTCGTCCCACATCGCATACGCGACGTGCAAAGTCCGTACATTTCTAGTGGCGGACTACAAGCTCACCAGGTTCAGTTGGTTGTTCCGTAATCTTCAGACAATATATGGACCAATTCCTACACATTGACGTGTGAGGAAATACTGCAAGCAATGCGAACAACACGCTCATCCCTTAAGAACGTGGTAAGTTCTTCTTATGCGGTCATTTTTAACGAGGAACATGCCGCTGTAGCCCTACGTTCTCCATAAACCTGGTTTCCCTATTTCACTGAGTCTATAGCGTGTTTACCTGGTAGCTCCCTCAATGCTTGCGGTAATAACACTTGATGAACCATTTTTCAGTATTCTCGCTTGCTGAGTGATGAGCGTTAGCAAAGAACCTCACAAAGACGAGAATATCTGCATATGGTTTAAGCGTCCCTCTGCCCACCTGATACAATCATTCCGCACCTTAGACGCGCGGCGTATATCAGTACAACTTCGTTAGGTGCATCGTTTCCCTTTCTACTGCCAATCCACTGCTACAATCATCCACTTCCCTCTCAGTACGCCTTGTTAGTCTACCCAGCAGCGGGTATATTTATAATTAAATTGCGACACTTATAATCAACATAAAACCGGCTGCATCTTCAGTTAAGATTGATGAACACCGAACACTACGTCATATGCATTTATCACGGTAACCTTTAGCGAATTCCATCTTCACTACTTCACCGCACACAACAGCTTAACTCTGTTACCCAGGCGGACGCAACATTCTTTAAACGATTTTAAATGTTTATGAACCCTCTGTTCCCCAAGAACCTCCTTAGCTCCGAAATGTGTAATCCTGTACTTCGATGCTTGCATACCATTACTTCGTGCGAAATCAGCTTGTGTGAATCAAAATCATTCTATTTAGCACACCTAGTAGAAAAATTATGCTGCTATTCTTTATTCGGAACTTATCCTGTCCTCCAAGACTTCAACATATTTCTACGTATATTTTTCGAGGCTTCACGTGGTTCTGCAGACGATCAACACATCATATCCAGAAAGAATGCTTAGTTCCTGACCTACCGATCTGGCACAGGAGAGGGCCCAGGCACGCAATGGCCACTCGCATAGCGCATCAGCCAGCAGAAAAATGGGACGCAACTTGACTGCAAATAACGGAGCAAAAGAACGTTCAACAAGAAACATAGCAAGTTACAACTTGCCATTCAATGGATTGGCGGCAGTGTTTCAGGACGTGGTGGGCTTTCGCCTGGCAAGCTTTCTCCCTATAAAAAGCCACAAATTTCCGTTTAACAACACTGCAACGGGGCGAATGTGACTCGCCACCGAATAAAGTCACAGCCCATAACTTCACACTGGCAGCTCAATTAGAATCATCATACTGGATAGCTTGCTCTTCAATTATCTTCCAATGGATCACTCAGGATTCTCAATCTATTATTAGTCGGGGTATGGCTGCGATATATGGCAGAGCGATTATGTCCAAACAAATGGATCTCGATCCCACTATAACCAAATCATTCTTTCGCATGTTCACCATCGCACAATTCCAAGCATGGACATATGAACAATATTCTACTGTCACCACAGTTCCCATAAAATGTCTGTACAGCTGTACATACCTGATGATGCCTCAATTGGCGTGCCTCGCATAGTCGAGAATAAATAAATACTTATTTATTTATTTAATAACAAACAGCTGCAGTCCCCAGTAGTGAATATAACATTCCCCCGCGTCTACAATGGTATACCACAAAACCATTTGTAGTTAATCATAATTTTTCTTTTAGGCAACATAACATTGCCGAAATCCCTCCAATCTCTCATTTTGCATGTATTGTGCATCAAACATGCAGCAGTACATGGATTTGCACACAAAGGTTAATTCACGTACGCATTTCTTACTTACGAACATGCCAATATCCCTTACTACCTACATTAACCCATATATGTATTCATATATACGCATATACGACCTATATATATATATGTAAATATATGTATGGTGCGTATATGCTATTATATGCATGCCCATATATGGGTTAATGAAGGTAGTAAGGAACAATGGCATGTTCATAAGTCAGAAATGCGTAAGTGAATTATTTCTCTCTGTAAATCGATGTACTCCTGCAAGTTTCATGCATAATACATGTAGAATGGATGCTTGAAGAGATTTCCTCAAAGTTGCGTTGCCTGAAAGAAATATTGTGTCATTGCGAACGGTTTCGTTGTGTACAATTGCGGGCGCGGAAGAATGTTATATTTAATATTGGGGACTGCAGCTGTTTTTATTGTGATCATCATACTTTTCCTGACAGTTGTGCTAACTGATATGATTTTAGTTCACACTAAGTCATTTTGCATGAAGTAATGGTACGTAACCATCAAAGTCCACGATCACTCATTTCGTAGCCTAAGAGCTGTTAATGAGTACAGGGGTTCTATAACTATTTACAACCGTCTACATTATATATATATCTAGTTCAGTTAAGAGCAGGCGTCAGGTTTGCACACACGCAGTCCAATATCTAACAATTAATACTGATTTTGGTCGCCGTTTGGATTACACGTTTTTGACTTCCACAAGTAACCTCCACTGAAAACCTATCCCTACTTACAAACCATAAGCCACACATCGAGACCCGCATATTTTGAAAAATTTACCATACATGCTGCCACTTCGTTCATTTTATAGAGACATAGCGCGGCCAGCCCTAAGCGCTCTTTTACGTTCTGTTCCTTTTTAACCACTTGCGTACCATGATATGTTAACATTTCCATTTTTCTACAACTTTACAATTTAGCCTGGTGCAGTACAGTTTTTAGCTTTTTGGAGTTCCTGACCTCATTATAAACACCTTTCGCAACAAATTACCCTAATAAAACCCATACATTTAAAGAACCCGGAAACCAG